ACAGGGTAACTGCAAAGACTCCCTTTTGTGTTTCGCACACGGGAGTCAATAAAAGGATTCTAAAGTAGTGATCCAGTTGATCGATGTATTGTAAGTATGTGGGCAAGGTCGATATAAAGGGCAAATATTTGTTATTCTCAGCCGGCTGATCAACAAAATATCACAAGGCACCATGGAGGCTATGATGAGTCACTAACAAACCTTGTGTCTACGTGGTTGCCCATTCACCAACACAAGAATGGTTTGATGGGACAACAGATGACTGACAGAACTTTTGATAGTGAAAAGTAACAGATTGTGGCACATTAATCTTAAAGTCAATTATGCAGCCAAATATGAGTACCAGGCAGCCATATTTTATGTATTACAGGCACTGTCACATGAATCATTAAACCCATCAACAGTCAAATCCTTAAAAAAACCAATATCCTTGAAACAAACAGAGTAAATAGCAGTAGCTGCCATAGAGGGAGCAATCTATTAAAATAGACAAGGAATTGTTTGCAGATCTGTGTATAAATGAAAGCAGATGATTATATATTCAGTGTTTCACACTAGTCTTGACTTTTTTAATTTAATCATGAAAAACAAAGCATTTATTTTCATTTTTTTTCATTTTTCCCCCCCATACCTTTTCAGCTACTCGTGGAGACTAACGGCAGGTGATATGTTACTAATTATTCAACCTTCAATTAAAAACCACCTGTCTATAAAGGAGTACCTTGGGTGGTCGAGTTGATTGTTTTTTTTAAACCAGAGTACTTGTTAGTTTAAACACTTTTTTATTGAGTACACTGATGTTTTACATAAATTACACTTTGAGGTATGTTTTATACATTCCTGTTGTTCTATTAAGATATCACAAAATGTAGACGCTGTTCTGAGAAGAAATGCAAGGTAATGCATATTTGATAAACCTCAAAACAACCACAGACAAGGAGTGTTAATACACGTACTATTTCAAATTGAATTTCTTGGTGAGTGCCCTGAAAAATTTGCCAATTCACATGAATCTTTGACCCAAAATAGCCATATACAATGAATGTAACACTGATTGAATTTCATTTTTCAATGTGAAAAGTTAAGCACAGTAAACTATGTGGAGACATTCCTCATATAGGATTTTCATCGCATTGGATATTTGCAACGGATTGTTTTAATTTTTTTTAATGATAGATACTTGTTTAAATCTTTTATTAACATGCAGATATGTAAATAAAGTCTTGAAAACATTTTCCAATAAAAGTAGTGTTCTTGGCTTGATTTATAGGTGTGCCATCAATACAATTCCAATTTTCCCAACATTATACCATAGTGTCCTCTTCAAAAATCCTTGAAGAAGGTCATTTGGTAATGTTAAAAGTGGATTACAATATCAATAGAAACAAAGAACAGCCAGGTACAAATCAGACAATACATTACAATACAATACAATTCCATGGTTAAGAAATGTTCTCTGTAAATCGTTAAACTTATTCCTCGAGAAAACACAGAATTAAATTGGATCAAGGGGAAAATTCAGTGATATTTTATCATTTTCACTAGGAAATGTTCTCTAACACAGGATTACAAACTTACAATTAAAAATGGACTAGGTCTAGTTCACTTCGCAAGACGATAGGCAGACAATGTATTTAACAACAATTTCACTGTTTTACACAAAACATGCACCCAGAGGCAAACTTCCAAATTCCGAATTTTTCACACCTCAACAATCAATTTGCTGTACACCTTGGCAGAAATTCTGTCAAGTACAAAACAAAATGACAATACATGGAATGGGCACAGCTTTGAATTGCTGTATTGTGGATCGTTAAAACCCAGGGGAAAACATAATATTGGCTTTATCTAACGCTGTCTGTCAATTTAACACACAGGTCTTAACTACGCATTCCGTGCACATAGTAACCAATAATATACAGGTCAACACCCCGAGAGGAAACTAATTAGGCAGCTCATTTGAATAACATAAGTTATTGCTCATCACATACCTTTATTAATTTGCATAACAATGAACTTAACATTGGCTACGCACTCAGGTGAACTCAACTCAATATGGCTGACACATGAAAGTAGTTCCAGGCTTATTGACCTTTTTGTTCTGAATACTAATGAGTGTGACAGCAGCATGGAAACATAAAAACAAACTCTCCACAGATAAAAATAGTCCATTTTTATCACCTTTCTCAAAATATACCAGAATTTTTCCATAGTTTTAAAAAAATTTGACCAAGTTCCGCAGCCAAAGAGAAATGATGCCCATTTGGTCCAAAAATTACCAAAAAAAATATGGATAAATGAAGCCAAATTTGCAAAATCTTGGACCAAAACATTCATGTCACCAAAACAAATTTGAATATACATCGATTTTATATAAACATTTAGTTAAATCTGTCTTTTACATACCAACAGTATGCTGCGCATCGACCTCCGCTGTGAGTTGGTCGATAGTCCAGCTGTACTTTCTTCGTGCATACTTTGAGGTTTCCTCATAATAACCTTATTATTATACATTTTTTCCTATCAAGGATACATCATGGGAATGCCGAAATCCAAAAAGTTTAGAACAGAATCAGCGAACTTCTTTGTGTGGAGTCCGGTCAACCCATGGTGGCAGCCATGTTTGTTTTTATTATTATGCGTACGCATATAATCATTCCATATTTGGAATTCGCATTTCCAGATATGGTAGGATGAAAATACCCCATAAAATACCGCAAAATTACGACACGCTGTAACTTATGGCGTTACGGTGACAGATGTATAATAATTGCAATTTATTATATTCATAACTGAAATATATAGTATTTGGACCAAAGACACACATCTACATTTGTACATGCATTTAAAGGCCCAGGTATACTATAAATACGCTCCTAAACAATAGGGATTACTTCCTTGCTTGTCACGCTGTAGTAAACAGCTCCAGCCAAGCTCCAGTAAAAACGCGTTTTCTCAAACTTACGGGTCTATTATGTCGTGCCAAAGTGGATGCATGTGACTATGAATATCACAGCAGTGACTGTGTGTAGTATTTATGAGATTTTGGCAGATAAAATTAGAAAACATGAACCAGGGAAAGGGACGCGCGACTAATCTTGAATAATTACTACTGTCAATTAAAGTCACGTGATGTTGGACCGTCATAGGCTATGCAAGTGATTAACACCACTCATTAGCATAGCCACACTTCCAATTCACGC